ACCAGCTGCAAAGAAGAGGTCTACAATTACGTAATAGGTGCACTATGTGCCTAGTAGAGAAGGAGACTAATACCCATTTGTTCATCCATTTTCCTACAGCCAGCTCTATGTAGGGTACCTTCTTCAGCTCTTTGGCTGGTCCTGGGTGACCACTTCATCCATCCCTCAACTATTTGAGGCCTTCCTCTTTCCTTCATGGACTAGACAGGGGAGACTCCTTTTCATGCAGCAGTTGCGGCTGCCCTTTGGGTGATCTGGCTGGACCACAACAATCACATATTTAGAGGGGAGAAGTTACACCCAACGACAGTATTCGAGAAAGACAAATTGCTTGTCACCTTCTAGGCTTAAGAACCATAACCTCTTCAAGCATTGCCCACTTTTGGACTTCCAACTCAATTGGAGGAACTTACTCTCCCTCAGAATAGTTCGCATTTCACGGTCCTTCCTTTGGAGAACCTTGGAACAAGACCAAGTCAAATTTAACTTTGATGGTTGCTCTCTTGGCAACCCAGGCTTCATTGGTATCAAGGGCATCTTTAGAGATTCGAAGGTGGGCCATGCTCTTTGGGGGCATTTGGTAGTCGTGTAAAGCAGTGAAAGTGCATTATTATTGCACGTTTCACCTGTTTGGGAACAGTAAAAATGGGGGAAACTCGGAACACAAGTTCTCCCCATTCACTGTTCCCTTAAGGAAAGTTGCTGCTTTGGGGCACCCCAACATGGCTACTTTCAACGAAACTCATGCCATCAGTGAAAGCTGACCCTGGGACAGTAGCATTATAATAATATACATTATAGTATTATAACAGTAGTATAATATAATATACTCTAATATATATTATATACAATATTAATTAATATATTATATAATATTATTATAATAATTACATAGTATATATTAAATTATTATATAATATTTTTTGGTTACTTATTACTATATAATACTATTATATATAATTATAAAATAATATAATATAATGCAATATAATAAAATTAAATAATATTATATAATAGTTGTGGTTTGTATAGAGTCAAGGCTCTAAACAATCAAAGTAAAGCAGTGTCGAGAAATGTGGTCTCAATACTGGAAATCTGTGATAGCCTTAAAATATATTTTCATCTTTAATTATAAAATTTAAAGCTTGAAAAAAATGGTGTAGATCGAGCAGATCTATGAAAACTTGAAAATCTTGAAAATTGACGGTCCAAAAGTGCATTATAAGATGCACTATTTCCAAAACTTGAAATCCATTATTTTTTCATGTCCACGCATCTTGATGTCGAGATGATCAATTTGAGGATATTTGGGCATTAAAACAACCTCTTCTAGTGAAATTTTGGAGGTGGGCTCTAATTTGTTTGTTTAGAGCCTCGGCTCTATATAAACTTTCTCCTTATAATATATATATTAAATATAATATCATAATATGTAATATTTATATATATGTGGTATATATATATGGGAAATGACATCATGTAATGGGAGTATGGTAATATAATGAAACAACTTTCAAAAACCATGTTAGACCCATTTTTTTAATGCCAAATTTTAAATATAAACTCATTTCAATCTAATGAGCAATCACAAAAAAAGTAAAATTGGAAATCGCATCTCAAAAGATGATTTTTTTAACCCAACTAATATAAGCCGTCCATTTTAATGAGACACTTAGATATAGGCCTTAGAAAGATTTTTTTCCCTTCCAAAATGTTTAGATAGCTTTAATATCATAGATTAACATGATAAAAAAGAAAAAAATTGATTTTGAATTTGTGAAGTCGTAGATCTTGAAATTCACCAAATGGATGGTTGAGATTCATTGTTTGGAGGCACTCATTTTGACCCATCTATTATATATTAATTATATAATATATTAATTAATATTGTATATAATATATATTAGAGTATATTATATTATACTACTGTTATAATACTATAATGTATATTATTATAATGCTACTGTCCCAGGGTCAGCTTTCACTGATGGCATGAGTTTCGTTGAAAGTAGCCATGTTGGGGTGCCCCAAGCAGCAACTTTCCTTAAAGGAACAGTGAATGGGGAGAACTTGTGTTCCGAGTTTCCCCCATTTTTACTGTTCCCAAACAGGTGAAACGTGTAATAATAGAGAAAGTCATGCACTTTCACTGCTTTACACAACTACCAAATGCCCCCAAAGAGCATGGCCCACCTTCGAATCTCTGAAGATGCCCCTGATACCAATGAAGCCTGGGTTGCCAAGAGAGCAACCATCAAAGTTAAATTTGACTTGGTCTTGTTCCAAGGTTCTCCAAAGGGAGGACCCTGTGTCCATGGAGATGGGCACGCATGGTTTGGTGACATACTTGGAGGGAGGCCTACACGGTGGCAAATGCCCTCACTAAGGCGCCTCCCAATAGAACTCGCAGGAGACTTGCGAGCATCGTTTTTAGCTCTTGACAACACATTTTGTGTACTTTATGCTTAGCATGTATAGCATTTTTTGGACTCCATATGGGGTTTTTGGCACCTCCCATATCAATACAGTCTGTAGGTGGTTCATTCTTTTGCACACCTCCCATATCAATACAGTTAACAGTTTCTTAAAAAAAAGATCAGCCAGCCTTAAAATTGTGAGTAAGCAAAAGGCTTCGGTGGATTTTGTGATTGGTGAAATATGCAATTTAATTGAATCATTTAAAGACGTATTGGAATCTTGTTCTTACTTTCTTAAGGCTTCTATTTATGATCAAATATGTGGTTCTCTCTTTGTTCTTTTCTTCACAGGTATTTTCAGAAGAAAGAGGCTTCTGAGGTTGCTGAGAAGCAATAATTCCCTTAGTTCAACATTCCCCAATTGTGGAGTATGCAAGTGGAAAAGTGTTTACTGAATTATGCTCCTTTTTGGAAATCTCCACATATATATCATGGTCAATGATCTGCTACTATTTTTTGTAATGCGTTATAGATTGTTTGTGGTTTTGCATGTTTCCAACATGAGTGGTTATGCATTTCAAAAATTTCCACCAGTTTGTGGCTAAAAAATATTCCGTGCTTTATAGGATTCAGTACCATCTTAGTGACCCCCATGATTCCCTTATTGAACATTCACATTTTCAAACTTGTGTTTTCTTTGGTTCAAACCAGTGTTTAAAAAAGTCGTAGATCTGGATGGGACCCAGTTCTTGGGTTGGATGAGTGTTTGTATCTTTAACATATAAAGCACCACATGGTTTGGGAACCATGTGGTGCCCAGGTAATGTACGAGGAGTTTCAGACAGATTTGTGCAATAGTACCAAAATAAAGTTCAAGGTCAGTTATAGAATAATGTAGTTGATTTACAGAATAATAATTTCAACATGATTTTATGTTCCCTGCCTGGCTCGGCCTGGCCCTCAGGCCGACTATGTGGCCTGGGCTCTAGTTTTTCGAGGCCAAGGCGATTGGGCTGAGCCACCTAAGCCATCACCAGCACTAAATTCCTGATTTTTTTTGAGGGTATCAGGAGTCGCCCATGTCTGGGTGATACTGAGATTGGTACCCTGTTAGTCCAGAGTCGAGTTGGCTGGTTCCAAGTCTTAGGACTTTTAGAGGGTGGTATTGTATTGTAGATAGATGTGCATGGATAGGTGAGAGCAAATTATGGCAAGATTGATGATTCCAGCCACAAGCAGGTGGCAACTCAGCCATTATCATTTAGTTGGACTCCATTTCTTGTGAAAAATAGCAAAGAAATTGAACTAAAGAAACCTCCGTAGAAATTCGTCTAGATCTTTCTCCTCTTGTCATGTTTTTTCAATCTGTACAACTTTCTTTATATAACAAAAAAAAAGGTCATGTGGGGTAAAGAAAATTCAGCTTAGTGATTTGCCCCTAGAGGCTGGGGGAACTTGTTAATCTCAAGGCTTGATGTGCTTAAAACAATGACGGCTCCAAAGTTTTTCACTAAAAAAGAGAAAAGGCACACGAAGAGAATTTAAGGAGAAGATTAAGGTACTTGACTTCTTTGCAGAATTTCTACGCGCTAGCCATTGCCTGTTGCAAGAAAACGTAAGTTACTCGACTTCTTTGCAGAATTTATCCAAAAGTAGTATCCTTGTCAAAGTACTACCCTATTTAGGATAATAGATTCATTCCATTGGAAGCTTAACAGAATTCAAAAGGCTTATAAACCTAAGAGATTGAAATAATTAAGGGCAGTACAAAATCTTTTCATATTCATATGAACCATTAATTGCGCCGTATCATTTGTGAAGGATTATATACTAATCTTTTAAGCTAGTGCTAAACTAAATTATTGCACATCCATCATCTTGCTCATTTTCTCTATTCCATTAAACCTCCCCATTTCCAAATTCCAGCTACAGAATGTGTTGTGTTTCCCCCTACCATGAATTCCATTTTCCCATAAGCACACGGGCCGACAGCATGACTGACCTCCAACTCCAAACAGCCTGTCCACAAGAGAAAACCAGTTGAAAAAACTTCTAAAATTTTTTAGGCACCATATACTAAAATCTTTCCATGATGATAATCATAAAAGGAAACAACTAAGAACATTAGCCTTCAAGAAAGAAGATGGAATCACAACAAAAGGTAAATGAACTAAACAATGATGTATGAAGTATCACAATCATTATTTATATAACTGCTTTTCTTTCAAACAAAGGAAGAAAAAAGAACTTCTTCAAGAGGAATCCTCATTACAAGCCTCAAAGTCTCCTTGCTTTCAACTCCCCCTAACCTTTTTATCAAATGAATCCTACTTACAGAGCTCAATCATCACCATCCTTGATAAGAGAATTTCCTATACCCAATAGCCTATGAATTAGATCTGATGCAGTTTTACTGCATCAGCTTCATTTATGGCTTGGCAATCACCCTCTTCCAGAAGAACTTGAAGACAACTCGAGTGATGACACATATACTGGACTATCACATAGCCCTCCCTCATCATCTAGTTATGATTCAGATGGATACCCTTATGATCTTTATCCTGACACTGATTGATGTTGCAGCTGCATGATGATTGGCGCCGCATGATGATTGAAGTCGTAGCAACATTGTTTTGTCGGCAGCACTGTGGCACCGACTCCTATCACTGTAGACAGCACTGTGGCACCGACACCTGTTACTGTAGATAAACTTTTCACTATACAAAGGCCACCTGTCCTGGCCACCTGTCTCGATTTAAATTTTTTTGAATTTCAGATTTCAAATCCGCAGTCTATAAATAGTCCTTCGAGGCATTGTAATCGACATGGTGCTTCTAGAGCCTCTCAGCCTGCTTAGTCTTGGTTGTGCTTTAGTCCAGTGTGCTTGAGTCTTTAGTATGCTTTCTTATTATGCTTTCCTGCTTTCTTCTGCTAGTTTTTTATGCCTGGAAGATCTTTTCTTCTCTTCTCTGTAAGATCTCTCCTTCTTATCTTATATATTGTGTATCCTATTTATATTCCTGTTTATAAAGTTATTAGACTTTGGTGTGCATGTTATCTCTGTTTCGATTTTTCTGTTATCCTTCTCATTTCTCATGTGCTGTTAAATATTGTTAAATTGTTGATGCACAACTATTATTGGTATCAGAGCCAGGATTATGCTGTTGAGATAAATTTCTTATTTACACTGTTGACTGGGTTAATCTTTAATCCGTACTTGGATTATTATGCTCTGCGTCTGCGTAGATGGACTACAATCTCTTACATCAGAAAATAGAGTACGAGTTACAGGTTAATTTAAGTGATGCTATTTCACTGTTGATACTTTCTGAGGTTTACATGACAGGAACTCTGAAGTTGGCAAGAAGGCCTGAAAAGGAGTTCATACTTTGTAAACTGTAAGGAAAGTTATTTTTAACCTATATTTTTACAATTACAGTCAACTCTGTAAATCTTTTGCAAAAATGGCAGATGATAGTATCTCAGATACTTCTATAAATGTATCTTCTTCTTCTAGCCAAGACTTAGGACCCATGTTTTCAAAACAGGAACACCTTTTTGAAATAACCTATACTCTTGAAAAGTTTTCAGAAACTCGGTCTCAATTAATTAATCCTTATCATGTTTATGATAAATCCAACTTAAACTGGACTAAGCGAATCAAGAAACTTTGTGGGAAAAACAATCCAGCAGCCATTAAAGAATATGTTCAAGCCTCTTCTTTTGACCAACACCACATTCCAGCCACCCAAGATGAACAATATGTTATCATTACCTTACCCAGAAACCTTTTCCCTCAATGGCTTAAAGAAGGATATACCCATATCCATTTTGGAGCCATTAAACTAGCCTTAACCTTCCATGGTAGGAAAGGAGTGGAAGCAGTAACCAGAATTGCTTTGCTTGATACCAGATTTCTAGAATATCAGCATGCTTACATCGGTACAGTCCAAACAACTTTAAATGCTGGTACTATTTTTGTTATCTTCTTTTCTAACTTCAATATTCCTATCAAAGACTCTCATTTGAGTTCTGCTTTTAAAGTTCAATTACAAATTACTGGAACTAGACAAATTGAAACTGCATTTGTAGCCACACTCCATTATCAAATGGTGTACCGGCTCTAGAATCATGCTTTTGATATTATCACACCTTTACCCTCTGAATGTAAAAACACTGCCTTATTCATTAAAGTTGATAATAACTCCCAGCCTGTTTGTCACTATATCCCAAGACAAATATCAAGGGAACAGTTGCTTGAATTAATTCCAACCACTTGGGTTACAAACTATGAGAATTTACAAACCCAAAGTCAGGCTGTGGTACAGTCTGAGTAAAAAATGACAAGGATGCAGGATGGAATGGTCCAAATAAGTTTTTAGTCTTCTTCAAGTAACAATGAAAATCAAACTAGAGAAATATTTCCTACCCAATTTCAAGGACTTCTTGAAAAAGTCCCAGTGGTTGCATTTGATAAAAATGGGAATCATATTTATGAACAGAAAACTGCAGATGGACATAATTGGTTTGATTGTTGTAATTGTTCCACTTGCGTTCAAAGAGATGATGATTTTGATAAGAAGCCAAAAAAGAAAAACAAAAAGAGGACTTCTCAACAAAACCTTCATCAAAGATTTATTGATGGAGATCCAACAGTCGGATTACTTGGTGAAAGCTCAGGAAAGTGGGATTATTATGTTACATATGGCAGTCCCAAACCTAAACAACTTGAATCCACAGATATCATCCCTATTCGGTGGGATGACAAGAATGATGCTTCTAATAAAAAAGTTCCAATTACTGAATGTATGGCCTTTGACCCTCACAGTTCTAATTTATGCTACTAATTTTCCTCCATTGCATGATTATGAAAAGATCCAAGAAAATGAAAGATGTGTGGAAAATTAAAAACCCTAGCACCAGAGATTCTTCTGGCACTTTAAAGACAATTTCTCCTGTTGAAGCAAGCCTTAATTGGCAAGCTGAAATGGCATAGTCTCACAACTTAGCATTGCTTCGGATTGAAGAAAAAAAAAAAATATGTCTTCACAGTTACATGGTTTATCTGGCATAATTATACAGTTGAAAGAAAAAATACAATTGTTGAAAGAAGAATTGATACAAATTCTGTATTCAGTCAAAGACATTCATGAACAATCTTATTTGCTGACACAGAAAGGGAAAGAAAAAGCATTTCTAGAAAAACAACTGCAAAATCTGGAGAAAGACCTTTGGATGAAAGCTCAATATTCCCAGCCACCATACCAATCCCAATTCCAACCATTACTTGGAAACCTTTATCTCCCAAATTATCCAACCCTAAGGAACCCTGACCCCTTTCCTCCTACAAGAACCCTTTATCCTCCTACTGGTCTCATTCCTCCGAGAAATTTTGGTTTCAGATCTTTCAGTTCCTTTGAAGATGAAAGACGTTTCCTTGAAGAAATGTTTTTCCCTCAGTTAAAGAAAAAACCAATAATTTCAGTACCAAGTTCTTCTCAAACTCCAATGCCTAAACCACCTGTTGTTACACAACCAATTCCTGCTCAACCTCCACCTCATATTCCTCCCAAAAATGAAACCCAAATGTTTCAGTCATCAGATGGTGATTCAGATATCATAGCATCTTCGATGCCTACACAAAGCCTAACTTCTCCATAACCTCTACAAGACATGAGTACATTCTTAAAGAACCTAACCAAACAACCCGAGTTAAACCTTCAAACAGAAACCAAATCCTCTGAGTCTCAGTCAGACTCCTTTGAAACTTTTAGTAGCCAAACCTCTTCTTCTTCTCTGAACCCAGACCCATTGTTAATGATGAACCCCCCAGACCAACCTCTAGACCCAGATCCTAAAAATTGATAAAGAAATTAGACCACTCGACCCTCTTGACCCCTTACCTCACCCCACTCATGGAGATTCATCTAAAGGATTTACTATTGATGACATCCCACCTTCAAAATGGAATGATAGATTCCAAAAAATTCAAGGTTGGATGCATGCAGAGGTGATTAACCCTGCAAACACTTTGGCCAATACAATTGCAAAAGTCATTGTACGACTGAGAGGACGCTTGTTTGATTGGTATATAAGCCTTGGAGATTATTGCCAAACACAATTAAGTAATTGTCAATCTGTTGTTGAATTTCTTAACTATTTGGTATTTGAATTCACAGGTCCTGTTAAGCATGAACAAATCACTGCTCGAGAAGAATTCTTTCAGCTTAAATGTTGTTCGTTTAAGAGACAAGACTTGGAAAGACATTTTTCAGAAATGAACAAAAGATATCACAAAATAGGAGGTATTGATGATGTCAATTTAAAACAATTTTATCTTGAGTCTATTCCTCCTACTCTTGGAAAAAAAGCAGCAAAGACAATGGAAAATCAAGGATTAACGACACATAATATCAGTTTTGGTGAGATATATCAATTTGTCCTCCATGCTTTAGAAAGGTTATGTAACCAAGTTGAATTTGTAAAACAGATGAAAAAGAATAAGCATATTCTTGGAAAATCTTGTGATAAACCATATCTCAAGATTAAGTGTGAAACAGAAAAACAATGTGCCTGTCCCCCTTTTGGAAAAAAGAAGAAGATTGACCAAAAAAGGAAAAAGAAGAAATTCAAGATATTTAAATATCTTCGCAGATCTAGATTTCAAAGGAACAGGAAAAAAGGAGATCGTTATTATGTCTATGGAAAAAAAGGGCATTTTGCCAAGGATTGCCCTAATCAGAAGAAAAAAAAGAAGATTATAAACTTTCTGTCCCAAGTCTTAGAAGAGGACATTGAAGATGATTTGGAATCAGTATTCTCTCTGGATGATGAGCAAAATGAAGATACACTGATATCTATTTCCTATTCTGATAATTTTGAGCTCAATGAGATAAGCAACACTGTGATCCCCGAGATACTGTGTCCACAAGATGAAATCCTTGATATATCTAGTCTTCCTACTCAGCCTACCCCAATTGCCCTTGTTCAACTCCTCCATGAGCACTATTCTAAACCTCTAACAGTTCCTGCCTTTTTTTATACTGGTGCATCTGCTAGTATTCTAAAACCTGATTTGCTACCAAAACAATTTTGGGAAAACTGTACCAAACTTTTCTAGCCGCTAATGGTGAAAAATTCTCTATAAACCAAATTAGCAAACCCATTCTCATTAAGTTGTTTCCCAAAGTTATTATTCAGCACAAGCTTTTAGGTTCCTACTTACCAAACAAAGACCTTCTCTTAGGTTTTGATGTTTTACATCAAGTGAAACTTCAATGGACCTCTAAAGGACTTCATTTTAGAAACTTAACCTTACCCTGGATTGCTAGTATAGACCAACCACAAACCTTAGAAACTGTTAGACAAAAAATCATTTCTGATTGTTGTGCCAATTCTCATTTTGGATTCTTGAAAAATGCACCAATGCCCTATGGAAAAACCAGAACTTCTATGTCAAACTTCCATTCAAGAAAAATGAGGACATCAACCCCACAAAAGCCTCCCACAGAGGGTTAAATCCTGATTTGTTAGACCAAGCTAAGCAAGAAATTCATGACCTGCTAAAGGAAGAATTAATTGAACCAACCAATTCTCCTTGGGCATGTGAAGCCTTTTATGTAAATAAAAGAGCTGAGCAAGTTCGTGGAAAACTCAGATTGGTTATCAATTACCAACCTTTAAATACTTCTCTTGCAGACGATAAATTTCCTCTACCCAACCAGATTGTGCACTGTTCTCACAGATTTCTCATGCTTACATATTTTCAAATTTTGATTTAAAGTTTGGATTTTGGAAAATTGGCATACACCCTGATGATGGACCAAAAACAGCTTTTTGCCTCCCAAATTAGCATTTTCAATGGACAGTTATGCCCTTTGGTTTGAAAAATGCACCCACTTATTTTAAAAGGTCTTGATCACCATTTTCGAACCAATCTCAACACAAGCTTTGATATATATAGATGAGATCCTTCTGTTTTCCCTTGCTCTAGAAAGTCATGTTCTCCTCCTAGATACATTCCACTCCCTTTGTTGTAAATACGGTATCA